AAACTTCTGCTCTAATTTCCTCCTAAGAGCAAAAAACAAAGTTTATTTGAAGGACTGGTTGAACATATTGAGGCACAAGCACGGCTGGCTTCTGTATTATTGAATGAACTCGCAGTGCTTTAGCTCTGGACCTGAGCTATCGCATTTCTCTTTTGCTCAGGTTGTCCTGTCTGCTGCCCAGGACTCTCCACCAGGCCATGTAAGCCTGGCACTGGGCTGGAGCAGGCCGAGGGTACCTGGTGGGATCCTGGCACCTCTCCCTCTGTGCCGTCTTGTGTACAACACTCTCAGCTTTCATTTTAGAGACACTTGGTCCCTGGCTGGTGTGGCTAGGAGGAAAATTTGGGAAGCACAAGCTTCTACATCAGTGTCAGTACAAGCCTGCAAGGACAGCAACTGTTCAGAGACATGGATAATTATTCAGAAGCCATGGACGCTTTTGATGTCCATGTTAACCATTGTGATTATTGAAGCATCTCACCACACAGATTTGCTGGATTTTCAAACCTTTGTGATGGAAGAAAATGCATTTAGGGGTGATCTGCTGCTAGCACCTGCAGTTTTGGATAGCATGTTAAGTTGGGGAGGTTTTATTCTGATCTTTGGAAAAATGCATATTTATTGTCACTGTAACCCTCTGTGGCAAATGGTGAATTATTTTTTAAATGCTTCCCTCTTCTTTTAGAAAAGTTACAGTTCACAAGCCAATGCAAAATTCTTGCCTGTTCTATAGACCTCATATCGACATTAAGAATGATGGTAATAGAAGGTTCTTGATCACTTGATCTAAGGTATCAGTGTGGGGGGACATGGAACCAAGACAATTCCTTGCAAAACTCCCTACAACGTGCTTAACTGAGGAGAGAGCAATAAATGAGAGGAGAAAACAGTGCCTGTGCTTTTACTAGCCAAATATTTGCACTGCCCATGTGTTCAGCAGCCTCATACGTGCACCATATTGAAAGTAAAAATACAGGATGCCTTTACTTACTATTTAACACCAAAAAAA